TGAGTAAATATTTTTAGACCGTTTAGTAGCGAAGAGAAGTCCAGGAAATTAAAGAATATCGTTAATTGCGTTTCTAAACATGAACTTCAATGCAAAGACAAGAAATACCGATTTGATCGAGTGTTCAATTTCGATAGTTCCCAATTGGATGTTTATCGGTTTTCTGTAGCTCCCATGGTCCGAGATGTTCTTGCTGGCTATAATTGCACGGTTTTTGCATATGGTCAAACCGGAACAGGTAAAACACACACCATGATAGGCGACGCCTCGGATTTATCTTYCAATCAATCTTGGAGAGAGGTATATATTACATATTGAGKTTTTTTTTAATAATATATATWTACAATATATCTATTTCRAAATAATTTTWATTWTCAATAACGATAARGTTCGGWTWWSRATMRCGWTWATRGTACMACTACGTTTTCTTTCATCTATATTTATTTCCATTTCTGTACTACACGAAAYAATTAATTAYGTTCCTTGGTTGTTCATCTAAACATTCTATATTAAACGAATATTATTATATTTTACATTTTAGTTTGAAATGGCTGKATTTATTCCAAGAGCTGCCGCAAACATATTTGAGGAACTKCTTATATTGAAAGTTCATAATTWTAATGTAACGGTTTCATTTCTTGAGTTATACAATGAAGACGTAAAAGATTTGCTAAACGGAGATTGTGACGTCCCWCCTTTGACGTAAGTTTATGAGATGGTGAATGGTTGCTTTCTTGATAATGATGKATCAAKAWTTTWTTCTTAGTTCAGATCAGGGATWGGAACTTTAGAATCCTTAATTAGAAGTACATTAGAATCCTTTATTTTCAGYATCTTCAACGATTCTAAGGGTGCTGTGTGCATTCAGAAYCTACAGTCAGTATCAGTTTTTAATAGTTCACAAATTTTTAATCTGCTTAAAGATGGACTGTTAAAACGTCAAACAGCGTCGACGCTAATGAACAATCACAGTTCGCGATCACATGTGGTGTTTAYCATCACTGTTCACACAAAGGAAACACTTGTCAATGGCGAAGAAGTACTAAAAATCGGCAAATTGAACCTTGTAGATTTAGCTGGAAGTGAAAATATTGCCAAGTCGGGAGCGAAAGATAAGCGGGCTCAGGAGTCCGCAAATATCAACAAGTCGTTGTTAACTTTAGGAAGAGTTATACAAATTCTTTCCGAAAGTAATAGCAAACATGTCCCTTATCGAGATTCAAAACTTACAAGAATACTGCAGGATAGTTTGGGTGGTCATACGAAGACTTGTATGGTAGCAACTGTGGCTCCTTCTAATGCTTCTCATGAAGAAACTCAGAACACTTTAGAATATGCAAGTAGAGCGCGAGATGTAAAAAATACTCCAATGGTTAATGAAAAAATAACCAAAGCGCAGATGATTAACGAAATGTCTATAGAAATTGAAAGATTGAAAAGAGATTTAGATGCTACCAGGCGTAAACATGGAATCTTCGTTGATCCTGAAAATTGGAAGGACATCACTTCTCGTCTTGAAACGGATGATCGTACTTTAATTGCCTGTACTGACATCATACATAATTTGCGAGATAAAATTTCAGATTTGGAAGCGATTCGTGAATTTAAAAAGCAACAATATGAGGAAATCATAAGACAATGTAAATATAGGGATAATTTGATTAAGAAGGCGAAAGATTGTTTGAAAGATAACTGTATTTCCCTTAAGAAAGAGCAATATTTATCAAAGTGCTATGCAGAAGCAGCTGATGAGCAAGATGCCAAAGTCAATGAACTATTGGATATTACAAAGGATTACGCCAGATGCCAAGACGTTTTACATCAAAAACTGGAACATCAGTATTTCAATAACATGTGCAATGAAAATTTAATAACAGAAAAAGTAAATGCCCTCAGTAATAATTGTAATTTAGGGTTGGCTGCTTTAAATAATTTCCAAGATGGTGCACTAGCAGTTTTACATGGGCAAAATAATGATATTAGTTATGTTGACAATATTTGGCAGAACTACGAAGAAGCTTTAAAAACATCTGAAGAAAATGGCGAAAGTTTCAAGTCAATTTTCCAAAAACACTCATTGCCTTATATACAACAGTCTTTGCATCTCGAAAATAAACCGTTATCTACCGGTTTTAATGAGGAACTTGATCATGCTATTGATCGCATTCAGAACAGTACTATACTTAACCATGTAAGTATTATAATAAATTTTGTAGCATTTCCCATTAAATGGTATCTTTTTTTTATGTGTACAACCCCGATTGATTATGGATGAACTTTCAGTTTTACGAATATGACAAATTCAACGCCAAAACTGCTGATAAGATTACGAACACCCTAACTAACTTATCTCAAATCTTGTTAGCTGGCAAAAGAAGAAAAGAAATACTTCAAAAAGAATTCGATTTAGATATAAAGGATGAAGCTGATGGTATATTGAAAGATGTTGAAACAGCCAGTCACTTCTGCATAAATCAGAATAATTTGATCGAAGAGAAGAAAACCCAGCTTGCTACCGATTTTATTGATGTAAGTAGAATAGCAACAATTCCAAAAAGCAACTGATACATTTTGTTCTTGTACAATTAGACCAAACACGAATTTTCAACATTGGTTAACAATAGTAAATCTCAACTGAAATTGAATGTAGAGATTTGTGAAAAACAGAGAAATGAATTGTTGCACGAAACTCATAGAAAAATCGAAGAAGACTTAAAAATACAGGTTTGCTAAAATACGCTCGCTGTGAAGAAAATAAAAGCTTGTTTTAAAATATCCTTTTCCAGTTAAACAGTCAACTAAGTAACAAATTGGTCTTCATTGAAGACCATAAAAAGAGAATAAGTTTGATTCAAGGTGAAACTGAAGAATTGCGTGGTCACATCGAAACAAATACCTTAAAATTGAATAGTATTTTGCAAGCTATTGAGGGTATTGGCAAAACTATGTCTACACAAGTAGCTAAATCACAACGTGTAGGCGATACTCCCAATAAGAGGAGGTTGAGCTTCACTGCATATCGATCTAACGGAACTCTACCTAGAGACATTCTAATCAATAGGTTTAAAGAGGAATTTTCTGAGGTAATGATTATGCTTGTTAAACCAGTGCTTATTTCAGTTACACTAGGTATATTTTTAGGAGATTGAAACGGAACCTTCTGGCTTAAATGCATTCTTTGACTCAAAAGACTACAACAATACATACGAGGTAGGTTTACAAATAATTTGAGATGTTAAGTATGTGACTGGTTTTCCTTCCTATAATTTTAGTTTTTTAAAAATTGTTGATTTTCTTGCGAACACATTTTTTCAGGTTGAGACAGGTGCAAAAGATGATAACAGTCCGCCGCAGAATAGTTCCTTATATTGATGTTGCTTTTCACTACTTTTATGAAATAAAGTTGATTTTTTTGTTCTTTTTAATAGTTATTAATTTAAAATAGAAATCAGTGTYTCATCACTCACATCATMAAAAAATYATTTACAAAWCTTGACATGGTTTGTTGTGGATATMCCGTGTAGTTCGCCTCATCTASACATTTGTAGCTAAAAACGSTCAAAGATCCATAAAAATCAAACAAGGATTGAAYAAARGATTGAGCCCAGMGCCGGAATTTTATTTAAAAAGGTCTAATGATCRKTCCATGATCGGAAATRTTTAYCTTGGGCTGAGTAAACTGTTTTRTTTACGGCGATCATCCAAACAAGTTGGAATGTGAAACAATGACCAAACAGATCATTATATCATGTTAGTTCTATAGTTCGAGTCGTTCGAATGTGGTRGAAACTTCAATATYGGWGATTTYTTTAAAATTRAGTTTGCTACAGGCAACGATTGGATTAGGTCGTCATRTTTTTGTYTTRCAGTTMGTRTTYATAGACGGRAAATATGGACTSATTTGGGGCTTCTAAGGCATCAAATTTAGATCATTCTGCGTGTTTGCTGCAGGRTTAAAGYTTTYGAYTTAGAGTRGGTTTTCGATTTTGGATTTTGGATTTCATATGTTTAAGTGTAGTGCSACCTGTTTGGGGAWTAATTGGTAGAAAATGGAAGMAGTCCAGCTTACGGACAGCTGGTAAGAAAWWTATATRTAYATACATTTATWAATTTTAAATTCTTTAGCTTGAACTCGAKAAGTTTTACGGCTTTCTCTATTTMTCTTCYTTTTCTTTGCCGATTTTCATATACTTAAKTGGGATTTGGACTAYGCTTTTGTTATGTTATACTAAAGACCGTTTTTATCTTTCCAGGTGGCGCSATTCATCTCTTTTCARCWTTCGGTAAGTTTGGCATTAGATTATTTGCCCMKAGTTTCCATGCAGATGTAGGTCTTTTAGTTCTATATTGTTGACTTGTATTTTATGATGTTGTTGCATGTAATATTTATTCGACGAGGCAGTTTTTGGATTCTGGATCAAGTTGATAAAAATTTCAAATTTTATATCTTTAAAGTAAACCATAAGTCAGATATTAAACATTCATAAATGAGAACTTGCGACAATTGAACTCTTTTGACAATTGAATTATTGGCTCGTAACGTAATTTGTGTAATTTTTTGCTATGTTTCTTCTGTAATTTACACCCTAGTTTAAAGTGTTCTTGTATTCTTAATAGAGATGGTTGGAATTTTCAAATTCTTAATCCTTTCAAACATATTTCTAGCATTAACTAGGCAGGTTTTCCGCTGTATGCTGTTTTCATTTGAATCTTGAGAATTTAAATGCTGAAAAAGGTGTTGAACACATCTTGAATAAGAAAAGACCCCAGAATCCAGATCAAAGAGCCTAAAGGTACGTGGAACTTGTTTATTGTTATGTGATGGTCTAGAAAATCGGGCCCTAAGAGATTGCAAGTGATGCTGGCCTACTTATGCAAAATATAATTTTGCACTGTTTCTTCGAAAATTAACACTCTGAACATTCTATTTTTGTCAAACTATTTATAGTAGGGTCTTTTTTGTCGTCTAGCGCCCTTCCGACTTCAGTTCTTTTAAATTTAATCCACGAAATGGCGTTGAGTTTTGTGAGGAAAAAACGGTTTTAGGGAGTTTCATCGGTCTCGACCCAAATGGCAATTTATTTTGCAGGAATTAGAGTTGTACTTTCTATTTTGCAACATTTAAGGTGCCAGCATGAACAGCTTTGAAGATTCTATCTAGCGACATTTGCGGACTGTATTAAGCAGTTTTTGTGAAACTTATATTGAAGTTTTTGCGAAATTTTTATTACGGTTTGTGCGGATTTAATACAGGGTGTTTCAAAAGTACTCTGACAAACATCAGGAGGTGATTGCTGGCATTATTCTAAAATTAAACGTACTTATGATCGAAGGTTCTTAAGGCCATCGTTACAAAAATGCAAGGTAAAGTTTTCTTAAACAAAACTAAAATTTATTAAAATATTTGAAACCGTTTGGAATTTATTTTTGAACTTTTGCAGATATCAATAGCTGTCGAAGGGCCATGTTTCTATTATGAATACCAATGCACTTAATATATTTTTAAGAAAAACAGGCGCGCTGCTGTTTTATCAAAAAATATATTTTTCTCGCTTATTGCTTGTTCAATTGCTTGCTGGAAAAAATAGCCCAATTACATCATACATTTTGGAAATTTTTTTTTTTAATTTTGTTTAAAAAAAAAGAAAAGCGCTTCAAAATCGGTGCGTTCGCTCCAGGATATGATATACAGGGTTGCTCATTAGTGCGTCAAAGTGCGATATCTCAGTAAATATGAACTATATGACGTGCCGCGAAGTAAAGTTATTTTTTGTTATTCCTTTTTTCCGCCATAAACACCCCTCGCATTCACCCTTAAACTAATGGTGTGCGTTGGCGGTCAGTGCGTTCGGGTTAGAGGGTGGTGCGGGGGTGCGGTCGGGAAAAAGGGATCGTACGGTCAGTCCTGTAAACCAGTCCCGAAGGAAACGCGTACGAAGACAGTCTAGGGTACGCCAAAAAGAAGGCTACCGACGCCACGCCATTTTGTTCTTTTTTGTGAGTGCTGGATTCCAAGGAAATCCAGTTTTTTCCGGAGCATCCTTGCTCCTTGATCCCCCGGAAAACCGGTGAACCCACCGCGAGACTATTGTGCGCGCCCGGAGACCAGACYATTTGCCCGCCGCAGTACGTGGGACAATTGTGCGCGCCACAGGTACTCGAGCCATAGACTCCCGTAATTTTAGTTTATTTTATATCTTATTAATTGTAGTTGGTTGCAGTTCTGTTTGTTCGTTGTGGTTTTGTTGTTTGTTTT